TGTTGGTCATTTATTCGTCATTGTTGGATAGGTCTCGAAATTTATTGGACCATATTTTGGGTTTTATTAACATTTTAAATTTTTCACCTAATCAACATTATTTATTTTTCATTATTATTTTAACCGTATCATAATATTTAGATTACGCTATAGATAGTTTCAGCGAACAATTGTTTTGGGATGTCGAAATCTAAAAAAAAAAAAAAAATTTCGAAATCCCAAATGTCGTTATTAACTTATTCTAAAAAAAACACGAATCTCTATTTTATAATTATAAGTTAAATGTGGTTAAACTGTCTAGAGTTTTTCATAATAAAGATTTAGGTGGTTTTTTTTTTTTTTTTTATTAAAATTTATCATTTAACAGCCATTTTGTTTATATTCTTAATAACGCTTCATCCGTGTTAAGCTTTTCGTGTAGAACGTGTTCTAATTTTAATAACCCCTCTGAAATATAGCTCTAAAATCGCTATGTTGTTCTTTTGTTCGTTCAGTACCAGATGACGGTTCAATTGTTTGGTCCCCATACGCATCGGGTTCGGTTAGTGCTATTGAAGGTGTTCGGAATCGTTTTATTTATTATTTTTTTTTTTTCTAAGAATTTTCGCCGTTAAATGCGATATTCAAAAGCGAAAACATACGTCGTCGTGTTTAACTTTCCTATAAACGCGTGATTTAGAAACTTCGGCGGCCAAAAGGGTTCGTTTTGAACTCCGTTTCGCTTTTGAAATTACTCAACGGGTTTATACAATGTTCTAAGATATCGGCTTTTCCGCGCCAGTACGTCGTACCGGACAATCGAACGCGTTTTATGTATGCCGTTCTGCCGTGTAAATTACTCTCAAAATACTTCGATTGTATGACTAATGCGGCTAACATGTGAACAAGTCGAATGCAGATTATTGTTATTCCGTAACGATAATAAACGTTCGTTTAACGTGCACCGCAACGACCTTTTGCTCGGCGTATGTTCATTCACGGTTGTTGCATTATCCCGCTAATTACCGTGCGTTCTGAACCGTCGGCTATACGATCTGTATTACGTTTTTTCATCGGGGGTTCGATGATTCGCGTTTAAAAAAAAAAAAAAAAAAAAAAAAAAAAACGTCAGAAGAAAAAAAAATAACAATTACGTTCCCGAACGACTTCTTCGACGGTTCGAACGATTAATTTATCAAATGACACGAGCAAAGGCACGCCGGGGTAACCAATCGATAATTAATTGACGCGCGATTATTATATTTCGGAGGGGGGGACGGGGAACACGGATGTCGGCCAGTATTTTTGAACTGCGTCATGCCGTTACCCCCCCCCCACCCCCGCGGTTAAACCGTCGAGGATTTACAGCGTCATTTACATGCGTTATCGGCATTGTTGCGGCGCGCTCCGGAAACCCCGAACGCGCAAACGCGGCTGGCGATCGCCGGTACGCATTAACGGAAAATCGAATGCACCGGTCGCGGGCATAATGCGGGTGTTGATGATAACATTGCCCACACAATTCACTTACCCGTGCCACGTTACTGTCGTATAACTCTTTGTACGCGGCGTCAGATTCGTTCGAATCGGCGACAAATCCGTTACAATAATCGTAATATTGCGGTCCCCACAACACTTTGCCCGCAACGCCTACGCGGCCGTAATAATAACAATGATAATGGTAATAATATTATGATCAATCTGTTGCGCTCGATCGTCTTATACGCACCTGTATGCACCCGGTACGTATGCGCAGTTATGCACAGATATAGGCACGTCGTGTTATAAATATTTTGTCGAAAGAGAAAGAAAAAACACGGCCCGCGTGCGATCGTAGAACAATAAGTTTTTTTACATCGATCATAATTATCACGGTATCAGTTTTCGCGGCTGGAGAACGCGATTTCGATTTCTTAACCCGAGTACGGTTGTTACGACGTTAACGGACGAAGATTAAAATTAAGTCGCGCCGTTGTCTTGATTTGATTTGTATATAAAAAAAAAAATTTTAAATTTCCGCAATATGCGGGTAGTTAAAAAAAAATTTACTCGAATACTTACTTGTTCAATGCTATTCAATGCCCGTCTGTAATAATTAAGTCGAGTTATTTCGGAATTCATTTTTACTATATTTATATAATTTGTCGAGGAAATATAACCTGTGTCTGTCGGTAAAAAGAAAATGTTTTTTCTCGATATTACTTTCGTACACTTTCAGCGATTCAGAAATCATTCGAATCAAACGATTATCAGAGTAAATGTCGAGTTGAATTTCTATATAAATTCCGTCATGTTCTTGCTGGAGGAGGGAGTTGTTTTTTAGCATTCACCATTACCGCACATATAACCTCCCGCCTAAATAAAGCCGGAGAGAAAAAACTGTTGTATATTATGCATGACGTTAATATTATCAAGGATGTGCTTTATGGGAGTTTCAACTATCGTCCACTGTCCTTACCAATATCATGGTCGAATTTCTCCATTATTTTAGAAATACATAGTAAAGTTGTAGTTAAAATTCGCTGCGCACGGCCGTCATTTTTCTATTTGTTTTTTATCATTTATAATTAGGTATCTATAAATACACATAAATAGTTGAGTCGTGTGTCTCACGCATTAAACGACCGGAAAACGAAAGGCGAACTATATACGTACTAAATGACACATCGTTGTTTTTTTTTTAAACATGTCGCATACTATGATAACCTAAAGCCAAATGGCCAATAGCCAACATTACATACCTATTTATTAGACTCGTTCAAGAGTTTTATGCAAATGATAATTAAGCTCAGAGCAAGGTATGTGTAACGTATTGCCTGCATCTGTATAGATGTGGAGCTATTTTATATCGTATCCTTATTAGATACAATTTTCCACGTGGTTTGTATTACAGTTTGTATAGGTGAACCATTGACCATCGAAGCCATTTATGATCTAAATTAAATTACAAATACTTACCATTTTTTTTTTTATAGTATTTTATTATAGTAGCCGATCCGGCAGTGCATTACTATTACTAGATAATAGTGTAAACAATAGCTAAAAGTAGAGTAACAATAGTTTTTTGTCCGTGTTAACCAAAGTGTCATCCGTATCGCCAAGTTAACACTTAATTTATATAAATAAACAAACAATAAGATATCCGTACCGGAAATACCTACAAATATCTAATCACTGCAATTTTCGTAGAGATCTCTATTTTTTTTTTTTTTTTTTGAAAACGAAACATAGCCCTCGCCGACAATGTGGATTTTTATAAGTGAAAGACGTTTAAAATCGGTAAAGTAGTTTTTGAGCTTATCCATTACAAACATACAAACAGATCTTTTTCTTTATAATATTGTATAGTATAGAATATAGATTATAGTGTTGATTTTGTATATATTTTTGAAGCTATCGGCAGAACACGATTATAAATAGATTAGTTGCTCATCGAGTAACGATTAGGTTATGTTACTAAAATTTCAAATTAGCAGTGACGATATTAACATATTAATAGACGCATTTGATCTGGACAATGAAGAACTAAAAACAGTAATTGACCTACTAAAATATACTGCTGAATAAAAGTAATATACAAAAAATTATTATAATATGATTATAAAATAATTTCAATGAGATTTAGTGTGATGGCTGATTTTGAATGTTGTTGCATAATATTTCCCACTGGGGTATAATTTCAGATAAACTGATACACATGCCATGTTTCATCATTTTGTTTTAAAATCCTGGATATTTATTATACACTGCACACTAAAAATCAATAACAGTTTCATTTTTAAATTTATTTTCATAAGTTTTATCACAAAAAAGTTGGCCCATTTCAGCTCTTCAATTGCAACAATAAAAGGATTTTCAATCTATTCGAAAATCATCTCGACTGTCTTTTGGGAAGTAACGATTTAACGTAGTTGGTAATTGGCTTAAATGTAATAAAATAATTTGGTTAATATCAGTGACATTTATTTAGTCGTTTTCGTGCAGGAACTCGTTTAAAAACATGTTAATATTTCCTTTCTCTAATTTTTTTTTGGAATAAAGAAATTTTTTTTAGACTGGACAAAAATGTTGAACTTTTTATCTTACATCAATAAATTTAAATCATTAGGCACGGGAAAATTATCTACCAAATATGCTAACATAATTAATTGTTTACTATCACAAAAATAAGTTTTCAAATCGGAATTATTATTGTTTAGAAATTCTAACACTTTATGTCGAAGTTGGAACAGTCTGAATAGATATTTTCCACGAGAAAGTCAACGCACTTCAGAGAGAAGTAAAAGAGATTTAAAATTTTGTTTTTCAGCTCTTATAAAACAATCTACTGTTTAATCCTCCACGTTAAATAAAATTAATAATTTTAATAGCTACATTAAGAACGTCATTTAATTCAATAGACATTTTTTTTTTTTTTTTTTGACATAAGTACCTCTCTGTGAAGTATATAATGCGACCGTTCAGCATCTGGAGCTACTTCATCAATACGTCGTACCAGACGAACATGTTTACCCATCATCGATACCGCACCATCAGTAGTTACACCTACACTGTCCACTGATACTTATTGTCCACTGAATATTGTTTGAAAAAAAAAAATGTTCTATATATTACAAATAATCAGTGGCGGACGCGGGAACGGGGGTGGTTGGGAGTTATATCCCCGCCCGTTGACGTGGTAATGAAAAAATAACTATGTTATAAGTAATTTAATATCGAAACGCATAAATTTCAGCCAAGTTACGGGTAAAAGTCTGATGCATTGATTAGAAATTAATTTTTTTTTCTTCTTAGGATCCGGCTTTTAAATCACCAGTAACTCTAATAATAATAAACAATTATTAGTATTATTTTTTTTTTCTGTCACGTCCCCTCCGAGCACGTCACTGACGATCGAAACCGCGGCGTGACGTAGCCGAGACAAAAAAAAAAAAACAAAAAAAGTAGATGGCCAATATTATTTTCGTTACAACGACGACCGTGTTGTTACGATAGCCGTGTTACAGTATCCGCCTACCGATATGTACGGTCCGACGAACAACAAACGCGATTGTAAAACAGAAAATAGTTGTTTTTTACACGCGCTCGTTAATATTTCCGTCAAAACGCAACACGGCCGTGTAAGTGTTCCGGAACCGTTCGTTACGACGGCCGGACCCGTTGACGATCGCCACGAACGCGGGCCGCGTCGGTTTCTGTCTCGCGGGACATTATCACGCCGCAACGCGTACGGCACCGGAGTACGCGCACCAGTTTTACGACGGTTTCGACGAGTACCGGACGGTCCACGTGAACGGGACCGCCGTCGTGGCCAGGATCCGGCCGGAGGCGGAAGAGGTCTCGTTGCGATCCATGTCCGCGCCCGAGTTGACCGTCGACCCGATCATTCCGGTACCCAGTGGCGGATCGCTCGACCGCCTGCCGGCAAGTGGTTCACGCGCGTTTTCGTCGCAGAGTACCGTCCGGAAGTGCCGCTAACCTACGTCATTGTGGCGTCTGGAACTCGACAGATATTCGCAACGGATTTCGCTGCAGGCGACTGCCGCGCCGACACCGGCGCCGGTCTAAACGCGAAGAAACAAGTACGCTTTGCGCCAAATATAGCCACTTACTACGAACCCCTTCCCGATACCATCGCCGACAACGCGCGACCCGGTACAGCCGCCGAAAACCTGCTGCTCGGAATCTTAAATCGCATTCTCCCCCACATACCTCCTCCTAAAATCGAGACGTCCCGCAAACCCTCGTCTCCGAGTACCGCCTCCGGTAATTTACATCCCGGTTTGGCCGAAAAAAAAAAACCCACCAGTTAGAACCTTAAACCGCGTACTCAACCCCACTGAAGTCTCAACCTCCCGCGAATCCTCTTCACCGAATGCTGTTGCCGGTAATAAACGTCGCGATTTCGCAACCGAAAACCCACCTGCTAGAATCTTAAACCGCGTATCCGATCCGCCACTTCCACCCGACCATTTCAAAACACCGTTAGTTACCAAGTCGTTTCGGTATATTTTAGCCGATGAACAATTTACATATAGGACCAATTTTAAAAGTCCGAAATTGGTGGGACGCATCAACGACGGGCGAACACCTATATATCCAGCCCCGAAAATATCCATTGACCACCGGTGGGTTGGCCGCCCTAATAACGTGTGGACACCGAAAAAATGCCGTCGTCGCGGCTGAACGATACCAAAACAACAAAACGTCCGTAACTGATTCGTATGAATCATTGTTTCGTTGTTTTGGTATAAAATGCGTACAATAATACAATCTTGTATTGTACGAAAAAACGGTGCGCAGCCCTTTAAAGCTATAGGTTGTTGTATATTTTCTAACTTTTTAACAATTCAAATTGTTTTTTCATTTGTCAAAATACTATGTGATTATGTTTCGTTTAAATGCGTGCAAATTGAATTGAACACTTTCCAAGTTTTCGCTATTATAATTTTCAAAATTGAAATCCACTTTGTATTGGGTTCTAATAAATTTAAACTCTTTTCAATTTAATCCTAAAATGTAGGTGTTATCTTAAATCTGTTTTATACGGGTTTTGTTAACCAGGTTCACATTTAACAGCTTAGACAACAAGCAATTACAACGTTTTACGTTTTGTACACCTTTCACATCCAAATAGTAATTTCATTTAGAATGTTATATTTAGTTTTATTTATGCGGTAATTTAACATTTTTTCAATCGTATGGTCCACGTGTGCAAAATAAAAACTTTTTTGACACAACAAAAGTTTGTGTATTTTAATTAATTTCGGTTTTTACGGGCGACCGCTTATTGCGGGCAAACAGGGCTGCGACTGGCCCACATCAGGCGGAATCCACTGTATTTGATATTCATAAAAATTGTAAATATAATATAGTAGTGTAGCAAACACTATATACTTGCGTGTTATGTTAGACAACGGTTATGGAGGCACACAAAACAAGAAGCAGTTACATAATTCATTCGCATTTCACTAGGAGCAGTAATGTACGGTTCTAATTACCAAATTGTGTAAAAGAATATTCTGTGTTCACATTTTTTTTTTTTTCAAGGCCGGATGAATAACCAGTCTGTCTATAATCGTGGCGCAAAACATTTGACAGTCGCAAATTATCGGTTCCATACTCAGTGTCACGAGAGAGTGCGACCGCCACGCACATGTAGCGCGTTCCGAGGCCAAATTTCCCTAACCATGTGGCGTCCGCTTTTTGTACACAGTAGGGATGCACGGGGAGTGAACACATATCGGTCGCGCCGCCCAGTCTCACTCTCTCGTGGAATGGCGTGTTACAACAGATTTAGTTGCGGGTTTGACCCATTGGTAGTTAAATGGTTTAACTTAAACCTACCGGACAATTTCTTGGAAACGTGTCCCGCGGTTATCGATTCTCACGATAGGAGCTTTGAAATACGTTTCCTCCCGGTCAGTACTGGCGTTAAGTACTTCCTATTTCCGAACAATTTATTCTATCGATAGTCTCCGATAAATTATATCGAATTTTTTTTCCCGCGATTTAATAGTTTTATTCGGGAAACTACAGAATATTTCGAAAAAAACTATAGAAGTTTTTTTTTTTTTTTTTTTTATCATAACCGATTAGTTTTTAATCTGTCTTGAAACAGTTCAATAGGAATTATTCGGCTGTACCGTACATCAGCCAGTACCCGACCACTGGGACGTAAACATAATGTTATAAGACCGTTTGTACACACACGGGATCGCAACGAATTCCGTGTTGGACAAAAGGAATTTCGAAAGTGTACGCCCATATTATTATGATAATAATAAAAATATAATGTGTTAATATAATATATTATTATGTGAAATAGCCTAAAACTCGCACGCGATGGTGTATACCTACTAGAGTTGAAATGATTAGCGACGTATGCTACCGCCGTGTGCCGACGGCCTGAAATTCCCGCTAATTGTATAATAGCGTTAACGGTTCACAAAATCGGGAATCGAGCCGAATAAAATCTAACACCGCAACTCTAACATACACGAGCGTATACTGTTTTATATTATGTAATTGAAAAAGTGCAATAAATAATAATAAAAAAAAAAACAATTAGATTAGGTCCAAAACGAACATTTGGATGTTTAATAGATATCCACTGAAAATACAAAATTATCCATTCGATAGTCTGCAGAACATGTCGAATGGACATCCAAGGGATATTGCTTATGAATATCTAAATATAAATGGCTCAAAACGAAATCTTATCATTTGGATGTCTAATAGATATCCATTGGACAAACAAAAATATCCATCAGATAGCCCGGGATTTTCAAAAAGTATTGCCACGCTGGTTACATTTGTGCAGTATGGGAAATGACTTGTTGAACTTGTACGTTTGTGATATCAGTATTTGTTTTATTATCTATTTCATTGTCACATATTTATTCTGTTCGTTTATTATTTGAACGATTTAACTACCCGTGTGTAGTTGATAATAATAATCGCCATATTGGCCACTCATAATGCATTACCGAACGACGGATAAAACACGTTAGCGCACGTATGTGACGCCGAAGTCCTTTTTAGTCCGTTTAGAACATTTGGTCGGGCGAAATACATTCCGAGAATTTCCGCCCAACTCAACACGGTCCATTTCATGTCCAAAATTATGATTAGCGCGAGTTTTTATTTCTGTGTTTGTTTTTATTTTTATATTCAATGAGTTGCGCGTTCGGTTTGGCCACCGAAATTCGGGCCGCTATGAACGTTTAGCCTTTAAGAGAAGTCGGGTCAAGGCGTGGCCTTGCCATAGAGTAGGCGCCACTGCACGCAAATGCAGACCTTGCACGCCCCTTGGATACTCCACTGCAGGTCGTAACAATTATAATGTGACAACTACAATATTATGTTTTTGCGTTAAACTCGTCGACTCGCGATAATACGTCGATTACCTAATCCCCGGTGTTTTATCGGTTTTCACGATAAAATCGTTTACGAAACACAACTGGATATTGAACATCCAACGCGGTTGCCGTGCGACACCACTCCGTGTACGTGGTCCATCCGAAATAAGAACAGCGGTCGGCGGCCGGGCTTCTGCGCATGGGCGTGGCCTTCGCTACGCGCGCGGACCGTCGGCCCTGCCGTCCCGGAGAACGGCGTTAGTCTGTGTTTGACAGCCGACCGGGGCGAATGACTTTTGAACGCATTGTGCGGACACCTACCGCGTTATCACACGCGCGGTACGCCGTCGCCGCGGTTAATTCAAAAGGTAAAACAGGTAGTCGACGAAAACCCGTCGCCGCCGACTGCGCCGTTCTTATTTCGGACAGACTATATTTCTCCAAATCCAAATTTTACCTTGTGTACGACTATTGCTCGTTTTTTTTTTTTTTTTTGGGGGGGGGGGAATCCGATTGATTGTTTGTTGGCGTGTCGATTATTTACAAAATATTATTATGTACCTACGTGCTCCGTGTATTTATTGTAGAAAAAAAAAAGCTAGGGGCCCGGGCAAAAGTAACTCATAAATAGTAGTCAGTACTTTACGAAAAAATGGTTTTTCAACGATAAAACCGATATCACCCGATATATACATACACGTCAACGATAAATCACTGCTGAGAAATAACAGTTCCAAGCGAAATTCGGTTAAATATTTTTTGAAATGATTTATGATAATTTTAATTTTAATTGTTTATAAAAAAAAAAAAATAAAAGTAATGCATTACTTAGGATATTTTTTCGACCACTGTCTACTATAAGCACAGCTTTTTTTGACAAACCTCGTATTAAATTTTCTAATATTTTATGAAAGCCGGGCGCACGTCAATGTGGCGCAAGCGCCAGCACTGCGCCGTTGCATCATTAGATATCTGGCGGTGCATAATAATCGGTCTACACCTTCTGGACAATCCTCAATTCCACATTCCTCATCCATTGATCAATGGCGAAATTATGATCGATAAAACTGGCGATGCAATTAAATCGCAAAGACGGCTGGATTATGGACTACTATCGCTGGTGAAACGGTGCGAGAGCCATACGGTTCAACCGATTCTTAAATACCCGAGTGATCATGTCAATGACTTTTTTTTCGCACGTATTATTGTTATTATCAAATTGTAAAAGGGTTTTGATCGAATTCGCTACTATACCTGTTGGCTACCATTATAGCTGTAGCCGCGAGGGAGTGTTTTCCGAGTAAAAAATTACTGTAAAGTCAATACTCAGGAATACAATTATGTAACAAGAATGTTGAACAAGCGATATCGATCAGAATACGATAAAAAAACGTAGTAAAACTTCAGTAATATTATACGTTTTTTTTTTTTTTTTTTTTTTTCATGGAAGGTAATTGCATAAGTATATTAAATAAACGAATTCACGATTTCGCTATATCATACAGTTTCAGTGTATTCTTTTTGGAATAATTTAAATATTTATTCTACGACAATTTATATGCTATTAAGTGTTTATTTTTTAAAACAAACAGTACATATTTTAAGATATAACTGATAATGCACCCGCGATTAAAAACTCTATGCACGCATATTTAGCGTATTATAATAGCTCGAAAAAAGTAAAAAAAAAAATTGATCTCGAGATAGGTAGTTAATTTTAATTTTTTTTAATTTTATAGCTTAAATAAATAATTTTAATAACAACATAAATCCGACATTTTACGATGTCGGATAAACGGTTTTTTTTTTGTTTTACACGAGTATAGGTATTTTTAAATATTTCTTAAACTAGTTTTTTATTTTTAAAATACGGTTTTTCGGGTCGCAGCGCTAACGTTTTGATTAGAGCGATACGGTTTAATATCTACAATTTTGTTTTTCTGTTATTTTAT